ACGGGCCACGCTTGCGCAGGAATAGTGTGACCTGTTGGCGAGCTCGCCCTACGAATTTGCAAATATTTCACGCATTCACTTGTCACTGCCAGCTTCCTCAAAAGTTCTATAAAAGTAACGTCTGACGAGAGTCCGTCATTAAGTTTTAAGACCCTAGTATCTTAAGCACGGATCATTTTTGTAAGTCATAGACGTGCGTTCTGTGTCTAACGACAATACTTTTTTCCTACCCCCCAGTCTTTAAATGGGTGTAAACTGATGCCACGCCGTTTTTACGATCCTATCAGGGTGGCAGGAGATTTAGTTTCGTGGAAAACCAATATAGTATAGAATCGGGGGCATTCCATCTCGTTAAAGGTCGCGTTCAACCTCGTCCGGCAAAAAAATAATTCAAAAAGTACCAATCTTCACTGAGGACCTAAATCCCTCGCGTTTGCTCCCTCACACTAGCACTGGAGGCATACGCAAGTGCGCTTATTACCAGCCAGCAAGGCAACCCCCGGACAGGGGGGATTGCCAAAGGCCAAGGGTTAGTCAAGAACGTGTGGTATGCTAGGGGAGGCATTGTGCAAGGTTGGTATATATTCAAAAAAGTGTCCAAATCTGCGTAAAACTCCACACTTATGGGCTCGAAAAGGGCGATTTCCACTTTATACTCACAGGACGGCTACATTTCTAACAGTTGACCACAGTTTTGGACATCCTGGGGCACATCACAGAATGGAAGTGGCATGGCTTATTAATTTAGTTTGGAGCGAATAGATGGCTATCAATCGCAATTTCACTAACACGCTCCGCCCTGTGATTGTCCATGGGAGGGTGCTGATTTCGTCGTCAACATCGAAACAAAAATTATCATGATGAGTAACCTGTTAGCAGAAGGGGAGGGCAGACACGGACCTAACAACATGCAAGAAGAAAGACAAAGCCAGGATAAACTTACCACAACCTCGCTAACGCTAGAAAAGAGATCCCAGCTCACGCCGATGCAGCGTTCTCCGTGATGCTCCGTCCAGACGGAAGTGAGTAGACGCGAAACGGGGTCCATAAACTGAAGAAAAAATAACAGATTTGATAGAAAAAGGTCGAGCTAAAGACGCAAGAGGCTGTTCTGACATGTCAGTTGCCCCAGTCAACCTATAAGAGGATGCAACCACAGGTTTACATCGAAGACTTCTTTTGCCACGTGAGGGTGGAATTTACCGGTCTTGGCTTGTTGTGAAACGGAATATGAACCCTTGGATTAGCTCAAGAGCCGGAAGAGCCCGGTCAAGTCTCTCTTTATCTTTGCCCGTAATGCCTCTCAGCATCCGATGCGGGACAACTAGCAAATAATTTCAGATGTGGGAGGCAAGTGTACCCTCA